TGTGTGTGTGTGTGTGTGTGTGTGTGTGTATGTGTGTGTGGAGTGGGGGGGACTTACTAATTCTTCAAATTCCTCATCTTGTCCAGGAGTAGGCGGAAATGAATTAGCAAGCCACTGCTCAACGGCCTCTTTCTCCTCCAATGGTTTTCCTTTTGGAAGTTCGATTTGAGGTTTCGGCTCGCCCGTATTTTTTGGTGGCGACGTGTCGTTGTTCTTCATTTCTTCCTCTGATTCCTTCGCAAGTGCTTTGAATGGACTCTGCCTTTGTCCTTCAGGCCCCAGATCTCCACATTAAGTAATCAACCGAAGGGCAAAAGTAAAAAAACATTAAAATTGGCGGTTGAAGCACGAAATATTATCACCGAATAAAATTAGTGTCTTTTTATGAAATAAAGTTCCAACGCTTTCTCCTTTCCTAAAATGAGTAACGATGGGAATAATACGACGGCATATATTAAATTATTAAGAGTAGTGTTCAGAATAAATTAGCTGTTGTCCCGCATCAAGCCTGGTTTAAAATGGACTTTAATTACCAATATAAGAAGATAGGTATTTATATTTAGGAAAATTTAAATGACAATAGATTGAAGGATCATTTTATTAGTACCTATCTTGTTGCCCAAGCATTGCTCGGAATGACTAATTATTTGGTGATCGATTTGGATTTTCCCATTTTGGATGATTCATTTTTTAAATTCTTTACTCGAAGCTAAAGTATAAAGAGTATTCATTAAAAGGGGAGTAAAGATTTTTAAATAAATCATCAATTCTTATAGTTGGTATTATAATTTTTGGAGATTTGTTTGCAAAAGAAGAACCACATTTAAGCAAATCATTACCACAAATTATTCCGAAATCCTGTTTATGAATTTTGAAACACGCGTTCTAATCTCCCTGCACTTTCGATATTCAGTGTTTAATAAAACAAAAATAGGTACTGAAGTAGTATTACATTAAAACCAATTCATCTCTTAATCCTTATTAAATATGAAAGGTTACAGAAAATGCGAATAATTCTTCAAAGAACCAGCTTGGAGACAATGTGAACACCCCCAAGATATTTCGTGATTGAAGTTGTTAAATTGGGGTATTGAAAGGGAGATGGATGGTTCCTAAGTGAATAGCACGTTTATAGTGGTAGTAGAATTGCTAAGAAGGGTACAATAATTTTGCAAGGCATAGACCAGCCGATGTCTTTCCGCACAATGAAGACCTTAATCAGGAGAGAATTCAAGACCTCAAGGTGTAACGAATTATAGGAGAGACCGACCTCAATGTGCAACGAAATTAAAGCTCGAACAAAGGAGAAACAGTGGCACTCTCCGACATAGCCGACTGGCGAACAAAGAGAATTCAAGACCTCAAGGTGCAACGAACTCAAAGCTCGAACAAGGGAGAAATAGTGGACAGTGGCACTCTCCGAAATAGCCGACTGGCTAAGAATCGAACAGTTGGCACTCTCCGATATAACCGACTGGCCAGGAATCGAAGCCGTTGCCGACTGGCCAAGAATCGAAGCCGTTGCTGAGTTTAACTTTGGCCAAGAATCGAAGCCGTTGCTGAGTTTAGACTACGTACGGACGGATTGCCTGGCAAAACACCTTCAAAGATTGGGAGTATACAGTCAAGGTGCAACGAACTTAAAGCTCGAACAAAGGAGAAGGCAACGAAATTAAAGCTCGAACAAAGGAGAAACAGCCGTTGCTGAGTTTAGAGTGGCACTCTACCACATAGCCGAATGGCCAAGAATCGAAGCCGTTGCTGAGTTTAGACTTTGGCCAAGAATCGAAGCCGTTGCTGAGTTTAGACTACGTACCGGACAGATTGCATCAAAACACCTTCACAGATTGAGAGTATACACTCAACCCACATATACTCTATGTAACCTACAGGAGGAAATGGAGAAGTCCCACCTGTCTATGTGACCTACAGGAGGAAACGGAGAAGACCCACCATATGTAACCTACATGAGGAAATGGAGAAGACCCATCTGATCTGTAACCTACAGGAGGAAATGGAGAAGACCCACCTGATTCTATACAGGAGGAAATGGAGAAGACCCACCTGATTCGGTGTTCATCAAGAGGAAATGGAGAAGACCCACCTGATTCGGTGTCCCACTCTAAAGACAAGGACGGAAAGCCAGAGATACTGGGAAGGCCCTAAAGACAACGACGGAAAGACAGAGATACTGGGATCCAGCCCTAAAGACAAGTACGGAAAGCCAAAGATACTGGTATACAGGAGGAAATGGAGAAGACCCACCTGATTCGGTGTTCACCAGAGGAGGAAATGGAGAAGACCCACCTGATTCGATGTCCAGCCCTAAAGACAAGTACGGAAAGCCAAAGATACTGGTATACAGGAGGAAATGGAGAAGACCCACCTGATTCGGTGTTCAAAGGAGGAAATGGAGAAGACCCACCTGATTCGGTGTCTAGCGATCAACCCACATGCCCTCTATGTAACCTACAGGAGGAAATGAAACCCACATGCCCCCTATGTAACCTACAGGAGGAAATGGTAGAAGACCCACCTGATTCGGTGTCCAGCCCTAGAGACAAGAAACCCACATGCCCCCTATGTAACCTACAGGAGGAAATGGCCCCCCCTGATTCGGTGTCCAGCCCTAAAGACAACGATAGGACACCTGATTCGGTGTCCAGCCCTAAAGACAACGATGGAAAGCCAGAGATACTCGGAAGCAAGAACTGGGAAGCTAATGAACTGCTATTAATTAATTGCTATATATGTACCCCCCACCCATGTGGAAAGTGAAGTCAAAGTTTGAGGGCTAATGATAAATATTATAAAGCCTGCCATTTGAAATAATAATAGTAGTAGTATATTAGGGGTATTCTAATCATAAATGATGGAACAATTTCTAATTGATACTATAAGAACACTCACTCTCAGTTAAGGATTGTATTCCCGACAGTTTTGAGTGCTTACATTTGGTTGTTAACCACCATTCTAAGCAAAACTCTCAAAGTGCTTAACCTTGCTCAGAGACAAATTGTGAAAGTTGAGAAATAGAGAAGGAAGGATCAGTACAAACAACGTTTTAATATGTTTCAATTATTATTAATGCTAGTCTTGTATCCAATTCGGTTAAATGCGTTTTTTGGGGGGGGGGGATAAGTGGGGTGCCTGAGAATGAATCTCATTCAGACAAGTCATGCTGATTGTAGTACTGGGAATTACAGCACTTCTCAGCTTTAGGATAATCAAATGGCGTCAAACACTATTTCAAGCAAGTACAACTTAAAGTTTTTCAAATGATCACCTTAAGTGAATACTGCTCAGTGTGGGACACGTTATCACTGTGTGCGTCATCGTATGCCTGCATGTCTGCTCGCCAGGATTGGGAGGTGCGCCGTACAACTCTGTGTGCAGCGACCGTACAACCAGTGACCAATTATTAACCTCTGTTTAACCTAATCTGCCATCCTGATCATGATTAAGCTCCCTGTGTACACATGATCCGCAATACCCATACTGAATAAACGTGCTCCGTGCTACACGTTTTTCCTTTATAGCTGGGCTATAGCTTAGCTAGTGTGTGATAGACTTGCCTCTACGTGGTGCACCCTGGCCAACGTATACTCAT